ATTAAACTAATGCAAGCCTGAAACCTTCCAAAACCCTCTAAAATGCCAAGCAATAACCTTCAATGAGGATCTCTTAAGAAACTATTCACAGAAAATAAAAATTTCTGACACTACACTCTTGGATCATCTCTAAGAAGAAAGCCGAGAACAAAATTTCATCAAACTTGATCTCAACCATCATCAATCGTTATACAACCAAACCTGCTTATTCTAAAAAGAATATTGGACAGAAAAAGAAACTTAAGAGCCGACTGTTTCGAAACTTTCCAAGACCTCTAAAAGACATAAAAGAATCTTCAATGAGGGTTTAAACGAAAAGAACAACTGAACTTTTATCTGAGATGAATAAGGCAGAATTTCACACATCCAAAGACTGCAAATCTAACAAGAAATCAAATCTTTTTAGGAATCAAGAGGGTAGACTCCACTCAAAAATCTTCTTTAAAGAAAGTACATCATATTCGTCCAAAAAAGGAGAGTCAATGACTGTTCAAGATTATCGGGGAAATTTCCAATTTCTCAAAACATTGGTTAATGATTCAGCCTCAGAGTCAATAAATGGCAAGGAAGATGTTGGAACATCTGAAAATTCAGGAGAAAGCAGTACAATTTTTTTGAGATTTAAGTCTGAACCTAAAATGGAAAATGACAATGACAATGACAAATTAACAAAATTATGAGAGGCCTTGCAATGTTTGCTTCGAAGACTCCTTTTCTAGAAGGGAAGCTGATTGGATTGGGGGAACCACAATGTGTAGGCAAGCATTTTCAATAAAATCTAGATTAGCCAACTTACTTTTTCAAGACCTATCTTGCATTTAATGAAACCAGAGGATATAACAGAGGCATTGAAAATTGAATAAACTTAATAGAAATGAAAGATTCTGAAGCCATGACAACGATTCGTCATGAGTTTTTTCTGGTATAAAATTCTGAATATGTGGCAATAAAAGAGTATTTAATCTTTGATCGTTGGGCATTCACTTCATTATTTAGTTTAAATCACTTCCATCAGAAGTTGGTCTAATAAAACCACGAGAAATAACACCTTATGAAGATAGTAGTTGATTATGATCATGCAAGAAACCGACATTTCATGCTAAGACAGTCAAATGCAACAAATCACCAAAACTGTGGGAAAACTTTCAAACATTACCAACTTCAACTTTTGTTTGGATTAATCCACAAATATATTCTACTTTTATTACCGCGACTAACTATCAAAGAGATTAATTGTCTGGGAGGAAATGTTTAACAGACCACAAAAGTTCTGCCCTATTGCTTCAAAGAAAGAAAGCTTCCAATATGGGAAAGGTAAATTCTTTTGAAGGAATCCATCCTTCGTAGCTCTTTATGTTACTCCAAATAGGAGTGTTTCTTGTTGGACCAATACTCAATTTTCAACCAAACAAACCTCAACTTATCAACTAAACTTGTTCTCAAAAAAACAGCCTTTTTCATCCATGAATGGATTTAATAAACTTTTGGACACAAAATAACCTTCTAAAGTGACTATCACCTCTTTCCAAGAGGGCACAAATTCTTCGTGTGTCATTGTAGCTTTCTTAGGCGGATGAGAACATTCGGACAATAAAAGCTACCAGAAATTGAACTAATGAAGGGTCATTGGAAGAAACACAACCAGTGTAGATAATGATAATTCCACTTTGCTTGTCATAGAGTCCAATTGACTACTTAGCATTCCTTGCATTGAATATTTCTCAGAAATGAGATTGTTGACCAGACTACGGCAGTAACATTACACACAATAAATTTTTCGCTAGTTATGTGAGCATCAAATAGTGTCCACATGTTGTGCTTTATCATTCTTAAGAAGTAACTTTAGCATCTGCATTTAGAGCAAAGTACATCTTCAGAATCAAGAAACTATATCGCAGTTTACTGCATACTGTTATCCAACCCCAACAATTCAAGTCCATTTACACTTTATATGGTTACACACATATTGTTTAGTGCAGGGGGTATGAACATTAGAGTAGCATAAAAATGACAAACCAGGGAGTAAGCGAGTACAATTTACCAAACTCCATGCTCCAAAACGCATTTGGGGCACATCCTCGAGGTGAGACTGACAGTATTGCCTCCAGGAATGAGAGTATGGCATACACTCGAGACAACCTCAAAGCCTACTGTTGTCTAATAAATAAGCATAAACGGAAGAAATCATATAAAAGTAAAAGAAATCATATGGAATTTCCAACTTCGAAAAGAAGATCCGTCCTCCATCCATTAAAACCCCCATTAGCCTAAGTTTACATTTTGTCGATTAGGTATCATAATTTTTTAATGTCATAGCTGTACATTGTGAAGTGTAAAGATTAGGCATGCAATCCTTTTTTTACTTTCAAAAACCTATGTAAATACGTGTTCCCACACCACCGAGTAAATACGTGTCTGGATTTCTAGGAAAAGTAACACACCTTCCAGAATCAAAATGAATAGATCAATTCAACCTCACATCGCATGTGCTTCGCACAAAAAAGTACCTTTCACTATCAATATCTCATCAATTTTGCTTTTCGCAAAAGACCTTGAAGAAAAATGAGGCAACGAAAAAGGAAAAATTACACTCGAGCATAGAAAGTAGCAATAAGGCGCAAAACCAGCAAACATCAAGAATTTCACAACCATCACAGTTGAATTAAACAATTGAAAACGACCCATAATACACCAATAATCATTTGTAAAGATTAATTCAACCTCCCATTAAGACCACGCATAACCTTCGAACCAAAAGAAAAATATCCTCGACAACCCAATCTCATCACCAATCCTCAAAGTTCGATTTCAAAGCAAAATACCTCAAAGTAAAATCAGCCAAAGAAAAAAGAACTAATTCACTCCAAGTAATTAAAAATAAATAAATAAATAAAAAAACGGACAGGTACACCATACGAAATCAGAAAACATCAAGAATTCCATATCATCACAACCAATTCAAAATAATCCATCAAAAGCCACCCGCCAAAAGCATATCAACAACCATTCGAAAACCTAAAACCCTAACCGAACACCTCCCCATCATCCAAATCCACAAAAAAAAAAAAAAAAAAAAAGTCCAAAAATGCAAGANCAAAGTTCGATTTCAAAGCAAAATACCTCAAAGTAAAATCAGCCAAAGAAAAAAGAACTAATTCACTCCAAGTAATTAAAAATAAATAAATAAATAAAAAAACGGACAGGTACACCATACGAAATCAGAAAACATCAAGAATTCCATATCATCACAACCAATTCAAAATAATCCATCAAAAGCCACCCGCCAAAAGCATATCAACAACCATTCGAAAACCTAAAACCCTAACCGAACACCTCCCCATCATCCAAATCAAAAAAAAAAAAAAAAAAAAAACTGTCCAAAAATGCAAGAAATGAACATACATAAATCATCCGATACAGCACGATCCGTAGAAGGCGAGCGCAGTGCCAGCGAGAGAAAGTAACCACCAGATCAAAAATTGCAGAGAGAAGAGAGGTCGATGGCGATAGAAGCTAAGCAGAGTTGAAAAGATAATGGAAATGGAATCGGGAGGAGAGAGAGAGAAAGTGGCCAAGAAAGGCTCGAAGATTTAGAGCGAAAAGGGTCGCGCTTCGAAATGCAATCCGCGAGAGTGAGTGAAAAAATCAATTTATATTAGCGGTACGTCACCTTCTCCGCCACGTGGCAGTCATATGGAAAGCAGTTATCTTGATTGAGATTCACACGTGCCTAAGACTACGTGTCATGCTTGATTTTTTTTTTTGGGCCCCACTGGCCACTAGGTTAATGTGATTATGCAAAACTCATCTTAAATTTTAATTTTAATTTTTTTTTCTTTTTTTGAAAAATTAATTCCCCTTTTCCATTTTTTTTCATTTTTATTTTGTGTAGATTGGATTAAAGAAAAAAATATATTTTTTTTTAATTTCTATTCTCGACTTAGATTTAGTGGATTGTTTTTTTTAATTATTTAAAAAAATTACTTATCAATGACAATGTTCAGGATAAAATTGATATATTATTTTTTAACAGTACTCTTTTACTAATACTTTTGGTTATGTTTATACTAATTAAAATTATTTTGAAATTTTTTACACACCTAAAAATAAAGAAAACAAATACTTTTTACCTATAAGTTCACTTCAATTTTCATTACATTTTTATTCGTAATATTCGTGTTTAATTTCAATTTAATTTCCATGTTTCAAAATAATAAACATATTTTTTACTTATTCATAAGTATTTCATGTTTAATTTATAACATTTTAAAGTTATACTTTACTTTTTATTTTATATTTGGTATTGAAGTAGAAAACGTTCCATTGATTTCTGAATAGCTTCTTTCAAAAGGGTTTCTACTCTCAACATTCCTGTAAAAAACGTTCCATTGATTATTGAATAGCTTCTTTCAAAAGGTCTTCCACTTCCAAATAAGAAAAATTTTCATAAGAAAACTATTTTGAATTTTTACTCTTTAATATTTACTTTTGGTGACTGATTTTCTGCTAACTAATGGTAAAAAGAAAACAGTGACAATTAATTGATTTAATTTTAAGTCATTAATTTAATATAAAAAATTAATTTAACATGCAAAAAAAAAAAAAAAGTGAGTATGTTTAAAGGTAAGATTAGATTCATCGGAAGCCATAGCTCAATTGATTAATGCATATTTGGACTAAGAGATTAAAGGTGCAAATTCTACCCCATAGATTCATTAGATCCGGAGCCCTAAAACTCAATTGATTAATGCATACTTGGGCTAAGAGATTAAAGGTGCAAATTCTATCTGAACACATGAACAATAATGTATGAATCAAATCGTAAATCGTAAATCGTAAATGTGTTTATTCATTTAGGGCGTGAGCAAAAGTTCTAGGAAGAAAAATAATGCTAAAAGGAAGCAACCATAAGAGAAAAAAAGATGAAGTAACCAAAACCTCCCAAAATAGCTTGGAGGATTTATAAATTAAGTATTTTCTCAGCTAAGGGAATATTAATGAATGAAGTATTTTCTCAGCTAAGGGAATATTAATGTACAAGTCATGACATTAGAAGAAGCATAAGATTACACAGAGAGAGGAGATACCAGAGAGAGTGCAGAGGAAGTGTGGTTCCATTCCAAGTCATTGAGTTCAAAAAGGATGTGCTGTTCTTTTAGCTCCGTCACAGTTGGGGGAGGTTAGAAGGAGAATGGCAGATCAACTCAAAAGATAAGACATCCTCCTGTGGTGTTTTGGGAAGAAAAGGATCATTCTTGTTCTTCAGAATAGTGATAGAACCGATCGAGTAGATGTTAGTTTCGCTACGCATTTGAACTGCAATAAGGATGTGTATTAATGAGTCAATTGAAACGTTTAGAACAGGATCTTATTCAAATAAGGTCGTGAGAAAACTGAAATGATTCAAAATCAAAAAGCATTTACACTCTATCAACTATGAACAATGGTTTTTACTTCCACTTGTACTCGTACCTTACCTTAGAATTATTACGAATCACGACACTCCACAATGGTGTGATAGTTTTGTTTTTGGACTTCTCCAAAATGACTCATACCAATTAAGATTGTATTCCTTACTTATAAACCCATAATCATTCCCTAAATTAGTCGATGTGAGACTTCCTCCTAACCATCCTCAATAATCCTCCCCTCGAACAAAGTATACTATAGAGCCTCCCTTGAAGCCTACAGAGTCCTCGAACAAGCTCCCCTTAATCGAGACTCGACTCCTTCTCTGGACCCCTTGAACAAAGTACACCCTTTGTTCTTTTGACTACACCTTCGAGGCTCGCAATTCTTTGTTCGACATTTGAGGATTCTATTGACATGGCTAAATTTAGAACATAACTCTAATACCATATTAGGAATTACAACCCTCCACAATGGTATGATATTGTCCACTTTAAGTATAAACTCTCGCTTTTGGCTTCCCCAAAAGGCCTCGTACCAATGGAGATGTATTCCTTACTTATAAACTCATGATCATTTCCTAAATTAGCCAATGTAGGACTCCCTCCTAACAATTTTCAACAAGAACAAAATAACATCTAGTTTTAAGTAGATTGGATATGTTAATGATCATAATACGTAAGCGAGCTAAATAGAATCCTAATCAAAATTTCAAATTATACAATTGAAACTTATAAGAGCTTAGAACCTAAATGGCCAAAAACTTTGGGACAAAATTATCAACTTAACCTTTCAACAACACATTCTAAAATAACAAAACTTTTTCTAAAAAAGCTATGCAGCAACAGCATTGATGTTAAAGATGGTTTCCAACAGTTTCAGTGAAACAAATAGAGACTTTTTTTTTTTCTAGTTCTTACCTTGGGGTGTTTATACTTCTCACGTATGGCATTTAGCGAGGAACCACTGGTGTTAAGTTGCAAGTCTTGGAGGGCAAGCACTACAGTTTTCAGCTCAGAAGCGTTGTAACATGTATAGTGCTCTAGAGTTGGATTCTGTAAGAAATGCACAACAGAATCTGAGACAACGTTTCTCTTAATCAATAGAGAAAAAAAAAAAAAAAATTAGAGAGACAGAAAGAGTAGATATCCTAGGAGTGAAGCACAGACCCAAGGATGATCTGATTGGTCAAGTGTCCATCTCGCAAGAAATACGGCTGATGCGGCTATCAGAGAAGGAAGGAACTTTAGGAAGCTGTATTCAACAAGACTCAACTCAGCTAAATAATTGGCCAAAAACTCAAGTTCAGTGCAAGGAACCTGATAGCAAAATAGTTAAAATGCCACCATTAGTATCTGTTGTTGATATATATTATGTCTATAAAATATAAAGTAATGATAACATGTAAAGTACCTTGTAAGAAGCATGAGCTGATTGTATGAATCTCCTGTAAATTTGAAATATCCAAGTGAATTCAGATTGGAGTATGCCAACTCATAGTTATAGAAGTGGGATAACAAGATAATACCTTAGAAATGTCTTTGTAGTGGGAACAGATAGACGAAAATGCAGTTGGTTCAGAACTTCACTCTCCATTTCTACTACCTGGTACACAACTTATAAGTCGTTGAAATCACATATAAGTCGTTGGAACAAACATGATACAAGGTGGTACTACAGACATACTTAGGCTGAAACGTGAACATTGTTTTCCATCCGACAGAAACCAGGACGACGACGCTTTTTCGTTAAAAAATTTAATGTCACCTCAAAATAGCATACTGACGCTGACACAAGTAATTTTCATCTCTGTTTCTTCTAGAAATATGAAAATTTCTCATATTCAAATTGACACTCTAATGGAAACATATACTCTTGTTTTCCATATGATACAAAACTTTGAAGTCTTGTGCTTTGCTGCTGCTATGGTCTAGACTCATTCACTTGTACAAATCAATCATTATCTTACACTAAATCCTTAAGTGGTTCTCTCGGGCTAAAACATACATTCTTTCACTTGTTTGATCTTGCAAACAACAAATGTATCTCAAAGATTCTTCCCACATATTTTCCCCTTAACATCATGACTCAAGAATTGTCCCAAATTTACAGAAGGAAGTGATCCATGTGACTAGGTTGCTCAAATTATTAAAATAGCAAGATACAAAGTGGCTTATGACTTTGTCTCTTGCAATGCAGTGAAACAAACAGCAACTCTACGGCAAGAGAACGTTCTAATGGAGACAATGAGAATTAGCGAGTTGTTGATGAATCATAAGAACAAAACCAACGCATATAAACTAACCAAGCAGCTAAATGTGTACCTCTCCTTTTGTGTAAGTATTATCAGTAATGAAGCAGAAATCTTCCACTCTCGGTGCACAGATCTCCTCATATTTCCTTCAAGTAAAAGGAAACCATGTTTAGAACATGTGTAGGATATAGAATTGACCTTTTCTGGTACTAACACTTTTTTACTCCCTCCCTCACAAATAGTTGATAATTTGAAGTATTAGATTAGCACAAGAATTCTAGTCAAGACTTACGATGCAATTAGCATACATGCAACACCTAAAAGTTGCAGACGTTTTTTCTCCATATGATTTTGCGAGAGAAACCGATCAATAATATTCACAGTGAGATAGAGTGTATCTGGAACCAGCTTATATTCTTCAGTGACCTGAAAAAAACAGTTAACCATATAATGTTTTGAACAACAGAACAATTATAGTCTAATATACACTGCAGTGTAAAAAAGACTAAGATTAAACATTTCGCTTAAAAAAAACTACTGACTAAAAGAATGCATTTAAAGCTTTCTATATCCCATGGAAGAGGATTTTTGTCAACTTGTTGCTTTTAAGAAAGTCCCTTGATATTACAAATCAATTTGATCGAAGTAAAGCTAATGGTGATGAAACAAACCTCTACAATCCAATCAATCAGTATTCCTCGCATTTTTTCAGTGATATCTTGCTGCAACTGTTCCATATAGTTTGTTGAGGTCCTTTGATCAAGCTGAAAAGAATCAGTCATTTTTATGGCAACTGCAAACATCTTAAATATCGAAGAACAAATTCAGCGGCTTCCTAATAATTTCAAAAGTTTCATATTTCCCTTTCTAGTTTAGAAATCCTACTTTCAAGTGAAAGAGACAATAGAAAGCAGGGGATTTTTTGGTCTATATTTGTTAATTATGTATGATTTCATAACATGTGTAATTATGGCTCATGGCATAAGATGACTACAGCATCTGTAGTAACTTGACTAATGTAACTATGGCAGATAGTGAACAGTAAGTCCTCAACACAAACCTCCGCCACGCGTATCCTGTCATATATGTCTGGAGCATATATGCTGCATGATTGAAGACATTTGGAGTCCGAATCAATGTTTATAATGCCTCTATCCTTAGATGCTGCCGATTGTTCAGGTGCCATATTTTTTTCTGCAAAATTTACACAACGATGTCACTATCACTCCTGGCAAATTCAAGACCAATGCTTATATACTACGTTCATACGTGGCTGTTCTAAATTTTTCCCAATAACCATGAACATTATCAGGAACTGCTATTAGTAGAATCAATAGTTAACAATTTACTGCATGAAGATCATGTTTCCAAAAAAAAATTATGATGCACAATTTTTCCAACAAAACTTGATCATTCTTGCAGGCTAATTAATTGTGCTTCACAAAAAAATTGCAGATACAGTTTGTCTACTCTCCTATATATTATAAGCAGTTAGAAGTAGAACATAATAAATCAGCAAAAATCACATTTGGCTCATAAACCCATTCCAAGCTCCTTCACAGAACATATTTCCATAAAAATTGAATATAAAATGTTCTTTTTTTTTTTCATGCAACATAGATAAGCAAGGTAGTATACTCCAACAACAGGATAGTGCAAACCTATACATGGAAGCCATTGAGATAAGGTCACTTGATGGTTCAGTTAACCAATAAATATATATATTATAAGAAACTAATTTTAGAGATGGTATATACCATTTGGCTGAGGGACAGATTCATCTGAAGATACAGAGAGAGTAATATCTGAAACTCCACAGTCTCTGCTATTGGGACACATGGCTTGCACTGTTCTCTCTTTTTTGTCTGAAGTTCCTCGTGAAGAGACCTCTTGTGATTCTACCACCCTTACTTTAGATAAATCCTCCGCTAATCTTGTGTTTGCATCTTCTTCTGCTCCTACAGAAACATTTAAAGGTGCATTTTCCTTAGCCTTCGCAGAAACTCTTCTAGTTGGTTTGGCACCCTGTCAAATATGGTCGTTAGCAATTAGAACTGCATATATCACCATTTCCAGTATTCAAGATTTAAGTTTACCCGAACATTAGAAGCATTGCCGCAATTCTTATCAGACCCTTTGGTGGAAATGTTAGTCACATCCTTGAGCACTGCTCTTCTTTTAATAGGAAGGCCATTGGAAGAGATTGAACAAATCTTAATATCATCAGATGCCATTCTTTTTGAGTTAGCTCGTAGAAGTGGCTTCTGAACTCCAGAAGATTTTGAGGAGCATAGAATGCCTCCTGATTCGCTAAGCTCTTTTGCCCGTGCCCTTGTGATCCGGACAGAGCACTCTTCAACTTCAAAAGCAACGTTTTCCGTACTCATTTCTTACTGCTTTGAACACCAGCGGTCGATTACAGTAGATCAAAAATCAATTTCATTGAACCTGCATTACCAACATAAGATAAATGGGTAAGAACCGACGCTAAACTGAAAATAATTTAACGTGGAGGTACAGAGGAAAATTGAGAAAAAAAACCATGCGGCTACTACAGAAAGTGAAATAACATGCAACGCTTGATTGAAAACTTCATGGAAAAGCTATAGCGTAAAACATTTTTCACCTCTAAAAAATTTTCGAGAAAAATCTGATAAACATGGAGAACTACTGTGATAATACTCGACCAATAATTTAATGGTAAAGGTGTTCCAATAGAAGTGAAGAGTAGCGAAAATGGTATGTAACAGTTTCAAAGAAAGTTACGGACCTAGATTACAGCAACAGTAAACAATAGACAACACAGAATCCCCTGATGCAAACCGCATACGTTTATTTTCGTATCGTAACCGTAAGAAACTCCCTATTTCTTCTCTCCTTCCATCCACCCAACCAATACAAGACCTCTCGATATCGCTGCCAGCCAAATAGGGAAGAGAAATCACGCACGCTTCCAAGAACTTAAGAAATCAAATTTCCCTCCAAAACGAGTAACATGGAAGCAACAACAAGGAATCATACAGTAGCCTCTAAAATCCGCCGGATTTGAACTGCCAGACGAAGGCCAAATCATCAAGCGCAATATAGATTTCCAAATAGACTTAAATACAAAAGAAATCGGCATTGAAGATCCACGCCATGCACCAAAACAAATAAATCGAAACGTCCACAACAATCATTATCCGTCCGAGATTCGAAACCGCTAAAACAACCAAACAAACGTTCAAACGCATAAAATAAATACTCGTAAATGAGCACGAGAGATTAGATGAACCGATTATCAAAACAAAAAATAACACTGCCAAGGTTCGGCTTACATCTCTAACTAGAGCTCCACCGCTTCCATGGCGATCTGGAGAGCTCTCAGCAGAAATACAGAGAGCGGGAGAAATTGAACTTTGGACAGAGAGTCAGAAAATGAAAGACAGAGACAGAGAAATAGAGAGCGTCAAAGGAGCGTGAGCGGGATAAGGGTACAGTTTGAACTTCCATTTAAAATAATAAATGCGATAAATTTATATTATTTAAATATATCCTCGTGCAATTTTATTTTTAGACCACTTTTTATCTAATATTCTAATATTTTTATATTTATAGGATAATTTTTTAAGCGCATGTGAAATGTTAAAGGGTAATATGGCCATTTTAAAATTATAGATGTATTTTTCGAACAAATGACGAAATTTAAAATACAACTTCCTTTCCTTCCATTTACATGTGATTTTTATTATAGTCGTTTGAAATAGTAAGAAAATATCTCGTGAAACAACAAAACCTATATGAGGTCGTGTGTGATGCAGGGTCTGGCTTCGGGTTTGAGTTTTTTTAGGGCGCGTGTGAAATGTTAAGGGTAATATGGTCATTTTTAGAATCATAGACGTATTTTCCGAACAAATGACGAAATTTAAAAGTATTTTTATAAGATAACCTAAAAAGAACATGGAAGCCGCCTACAACTTCCTTTCCTCCCATTACACGTGATTTTCATTATAGTCGTTTGAAATAGTAAGAAAATATCTCGTGAAACAACGAAACCTATACGAGGTCGTGTGGGGTGCGAGGTCTGGCTTCGGGTTTGAGTTTTTTTTGGGGCACGTGTGAAATGTTAAGGGTAATATGGTCATTTTTAAAATCATAGACGTATTTTCCGAACAAATGTTGAAATTTAAATGTATTTTTATAAGATAACCTAAAAAGAACACGAAAGCAGCATACAACTTCCTTTCCTTCCATTGACACGTGATTTTCATTATAGTCGTTTGAAATAGTAAGAAAATATCTCGTGAAACAACGAAACCTATATAAGGTCATGTGGGGTGCCAGGTATGGCTTCGGGTTTCATTGAGTTTCGTAGTCGGGCCCAAGGTTCTAATCGTTTACTAAAAACAAATCCATATTTGAATAGTAGTTTCACTACTCGACTCCTCTCATAAATTACCTTCTCTCGTACACGTGTTCAACTAAATCATCTATTAGTACAACTAGAAAAAAAAACGCAATGATCGTCAAAATATAGAGGTTTTTTTAGTTCAACAATTGTAATGTAAAAGTCAAACTATCGACTTTTAAAATAGTAAATGACGTTTTTTAAAAAAAACTACATATACTAAAATTTTATAGAATTATACCTCCAAACTTATTATTTAATCATCGACCATAATTGAAATATATATTTGTAAAGTTGTTTCATTTTTTGTATTCAATTACCGAGCGTTCATGGGTCCAGTCATATTGGAACATTTTTTTAAGACCTAAATCAATTATTCCAGTTATAAATTTTTCAACTCGAACAACTCTTATTAAATAATAAATTTAACCTTATTCAGTCCAGATGGGATGGCTGGAATAATTTATTAGATTTTTAAATAAAAATAAAATTTTAGTTTATAAAATATATATTGATTTAATTTCAAATATTTAATTAAAATTTATAAAATAAAAAAATTAACTAGAATAAATAATAAAAATTTTGAAATATATATATATATATAAATTAACAATAATTTTGGATTATTTATTTTTATGACACAACCATGAATGTATTTATAAACGATATTTAAAGGGACAGTAAATAACAAAATAAAAAATTCTTTATATAATAATTTTTGAAGGAAAGAAAGAGGATAAATATTAAATGAATATTTACAGTGATAATAAATGTTAAAGTGGAAGGGGAAAATAGGTCCAATACCCCTCGTGATTGAATTAAATTATCTGTTCTGTCAAAATCAATTTCCATGGGACCAAAATAAATGATTTCAAGGATGACTTGCGTACTTAAAAGGGAGCCAAAGTAATGAGGCGTGTCGGGGTCGGGGTCGGGGACAAGGTTGAGGTCGGGTTTTGGGTCGGAGATGCGCTCCTCATTATTCACTCTGCCATCACTTTTAATGTTCGTCTTCACTCTATTCATCAATTTCTTTTTAAAATCGGGATTTTTTTTTGTTGAAAATTTTGGTCGAGACAAAAAAAATTGGTGACCCGAACAATCTAAATAGAGTTCACAATTCAACCCGTTTGAGTTTTTTTTTTTAATTATTTTAAAAATTCTCACTTATCCACGATACATTATCAATTAAAATATTTTTAATATTTAAAAAAAAAATAGGTAGGATTAAGTTGTAACTCTATTTTCAGGTCAATCGAGCAAAATTAATCAAATTTTTAATTTTTTTAAAATTAAACTTAAAAAAAAAACCCACCTTTTATGATTGAGGTCAGATAGTATCGGTTGTTTATGTAGTCGAAACTGAGACTGATCAAAGTCATGAGACCATGTATGGGGATTGACGCCTGCCCAGTGTCGAAAGGTCAAGGAAGTTGGTGACCTGATGACAGGGGAGTTGGCGACCGTAACTATAACGATCCTAAGGTAGCGAAATTCCTTGTCAGGTAAGTTCCGACTCGCATGAAAGGCGTAACGAACTGGGCATTGTCTTAGAGAGAGGCTCAGTGAAATAGATATATATGCGGACTACGTGCACCGACCCTATGAAGCTTGCCTAGGATTGACTTTGGGCCTTTTCCTGCCCAACTTAGGTGGAAGGCGAAGGAAGCCCCCGAGTTATTGGATCATATGAATAACCCTATTTTAAATTATATAAAATTTATTTATTTATTTATTTCTTTTATTTTTCAAAAACATGTTTGGAATTATAATTTTTTATATATTAAATTATAATTATTTTTTTTTAAATTTAAAAGATTGAATTTACTTAGTGTTAATATACAATAAAAGATTGAATTAGAGACGGAAGACCGAAATTCAGCTGCGGCGCCACCGGAATCAATCGTACGTCGGAGGATAGCCGCCGTTGTCGTTGCCATCTCTTTTCTCTGCATAAACCCTAAACCCTAAACCCTAAACCCCCCAATGCCCATTCAGAAACCTTTATTTTTGGCATACGGGATCCTCCACGCCATCGAACGCTATCGTTGTTCTAGTTTTCGAGTTCATGCTCTGCGATTTTCCTCTTCGTCTGCTCAGTCATGGCTGTCCACACCGGGAAAGCCACTCATAAAGTGGCCTTCACTGCCCGACCAGGCGGGAAGCTCGTTGCAATCAGAACCGGCCACGATTTCAAACCCTAACTCTGACACTGACCTGAAATCTGATGCAAGTTATGCGCAGAATGACTTCTCTACCATTTCTGGCATCCTTTCCGATCGCGGTGTTCGACCTGGTGCAGCGTTCGAGGATGCTTTGGACAGGACTGGAATTGTGCCGAGTTCGAGTTTGTTGGAGGCTGTATTCGATCATTTCGATTCGTCTCCCAAGTTATTGTATCCGCTGTTTCTCTGGGCTGCGAAGAAACCTGGATTTTGTCCCTCACCGGCATTGTTCAATTGTACGATCAACGTGCTGGCGAAGTCGAGGGCGTTTGATTCTGCTTGGTCTCTGATTATTCGTCGTCTTCGTGGAGATGGAGAATCCTCTTTGGTTTCCGTCGATGTCTTCGTGATATTGATCAGGCGGTACACTCGTGCAGGTATGTTTATAATGACACTACAACTCAATGGCCGTTTTTATGCATGAACTGATTGATCTTCCATTTATTAAACCGTTCGAAAATATGCATATTCAAATTTGGACATCATCTCCATTTGTCATTCCATTTGAGGTTCATGTTTATCTGTTTATCTGTTTATCTTGATTGCCAATTCCATTTGAGGTTCAAATAGAGAATTTGCATATTCAAAGCCAAAACCAAGTGAGTGTAGAAATGATTGTATGGGCGCTGTCTATGGTGATTTCTACAGGCATGGTTCAACCTGCAATTCGGACCTTCGAATTTGCTCGCAACCTAGAAACAATTTCAGGGACCAACTCGGAGAGTTTGTTTGAGATTTTATTAGATTCCCTCTGCAAAGAGGGCCATGTCAGGGTAGCTTCTGAGTACTTCAATAGGAAAAGAGAGTTGGATTTGAACTTCGAACCATCAATTCGAGCTTATAATATACTTCTAAATGGATGGTTTCGATCAAGAAAGCTCAAACATGCTGAGAGGCTCTGGTTTGAGATGAAGAAGAACAAAATATCACCTACAGTCGTTACATATGGCACCCTTGTCGAAGGCTACTGTCGAATGCGTCGGGTCGAAATAGCCATTGAATTGGTGGATGAGATGAGGGGAGAAGGTATTGAGCCAAATGCAATCATATATAACCCAATAGTTGATGCACTTGGGGAATCTGGGAGGTTTAAGGAGGCATTGGGAATGATGGAGAGGTTCACGGTTCTCGAGCAAGGCCCTACGATCTCGACGTACAATTCTCTTATTAAGGGTTATTGCAAGGCAGGAGATCTTTCAGGGGCTAGCAAGATCCTTAAGTTGATGATGAATAGAGGATTCACTCCCACCCCGACTACCTATAACTACTTCTTTAGATTCTTCTCAAAGTATGGGAAAATTGAGGAGGGTATGAACCTTTACAACAAAATGATTGAATCGGGATATACGCCCGATAAACTTACGTACCACCTGTTGCTGAAGATGTTGTGTGAAGAGGAGAGATTAAACCTTGCAGTTCAAGTTTGCAATGAAATGAAGGCTAGGGGGTTTGACATGGACTTGGCTACAAGCACCATGTTAATCCATTTGCTTTGCAAGATGCATAAATTTGAAGAGGCTTTCGCTGAATTCGAGCACATGATTTGTCGTGGAATAGTTCCTCAATATCTAACTTTCTGCAGATTGCTTGATGAATTCTCAAAACGTGGATTGACAAAAATGGCATTGAAGCTACGAGGAATGATGTCTTCGGTTCCTCATTCAGAGAAGTTACCTAATACGTATAGTCA